GTGGGTGAGAGGAGCGTCCCTCCATCCGCACGGAAAGTTGCGTTGTCTGTAAACAAGTCTGCACGTCTTCCCTTTGTCACTTGGAAGTTGTTCAGTAATTTATTTGAACCCTCTTCTCTCACCAAGGCTGCGGTTAGCGTCCCTTCTCTTTCATTCTGCTTTCCTGCAGCCGGCCCTCCGCAAGTTCTGTCCGTGGAGCTACAGGAAAGAGCCGATGACATTTCCAAACTGACCCATTCTGCACGAAATTGTACTCAACAGTGACCTCAAACTGCGAGCAAGCAGCTTCTCCCCACACAGGGGGGTGTGTGTATATGTGTATATATATGTATTCAGGCTTGGCTTCTCTCTGTCACATTATAGAAAACATGAGAATGTGGAAGGGAGGTTGCTTTCGATCTGACTGTAGAAGTAACAAGAAAATAAGATAGCTCCCGAAATGAAAAAAAAAAAACTGTTGGAGCTTGTTTTATTTATTCATTGCTTCATGATTTATTAAGAACTTCTTAAATATGATGAGTGTCAGATACAACTCACTAATTTTGAAAGATTTAGAGGCTTCGGCTGCACAAGCAGTGACTTTGACGTGAACAAAGCAGACTTTTCCGTGGAGATCTCCTCTGAGGTGTCTGCGTTTTAGCTGAAGATGTGTTTAAGTGACTGACATTCTCATTGCAAAAACAAGCGCTAGCTAGAAAAACATTCTGTTGATCTTCTCTTCATCAAACTGTGAGGTTGTGATGCCTGAAAGAAAACCCCTCCCCTCTTCTTTCTCAGCCTGGAAAACAGAGTGAAGGAGACCTTGCACAAAGCCTCCTGGGACAGCCTGGGGGAACGGCTCTCTGCTAGTCCCCCAGACTACGCTCAGTCAATCCAGCTGCTGCAGGAGATAAGAGGTGAGCTGTTCATTAACCAGAGAAGACGGTTACCTTAGAATTAGCCTTCTCTGAATCATCACCTCACCCTTTACATCCAGTTCTCCTATGTGAACATGAATAAGAGGGAGGAGAAAACAGGCTGCCTTTAGTTTATAGGGGCACACAAATTAACACAAGTGCGCCTCCTAAAATCTGTCTGAGAAGGAAACTCATTCTCTGGTCCTGAGAACACATAATCTACCGAAAGGGTGGAAAGCTTTTGTTGGAGCTGTCGGTTATAGTAACAGCCACAGGCCATTCCTGGTATGGTGTCTGCTGAACAAACCCGGCAATTCTCTGTACAAAGAATCTCTTTTGGTATATGAGGAGCTGTATCTGCTGTGCAAGTGTACAATGTAGTGAATAAGAACGGTTTGGCGCTAAAAGACGTATGTTCTTAGCAAGGCTTAAAGCTGTGTATGGTTTACTTTCTCAGTCTGTGCTTTCCCATCAGACTCCAGACAGGTAACTCCCTTCTTTCATGCATGACAGTAAAGGAGGTTTTGCAACGTCTGAAACAGCAGCCAGAGATCCTTGAAGTGAGTCATTAGAGTCGAGCATTCCCTTGAAACGCTTGTGTGCCCCAGAATGTGTGTACTGAGAGTTAGCTTAGTCTCAGCACAAGACCCGCCCCGATTCCTGTTGAGCAACTCCAGAGAACTCTTGAGTTCCGGGAACGAAACGAGGCTGCTGCTGCTTTGGGCAGGCCCCGCTACCGCGGCTGCTGCCACGGCACAACCAAGCTTGAAGCCAGGTTGAAGAGGCCTTGGCCATGGAGTTGAGTAGACAGGAGGCTGAGCGTGGGGCTCCGGGTATCCACGGTCTCGCCACGTACATCCTGGGCACAACGGCAAGGCTGCGTGTGCCCGTTCGAGGTGAGAAAGTACGAGGGTTGCCAAGGCTCACAGACCCAGCTCGGCTTCTCGGGTGGGTGGTGCTGACTCTGCCTACACAGACCAGCAAAACCTTCAACGATAAAACACTGGTTAAGAGGAAACCACCTTGGAATGACGGCCCAAGGACCCTTTCATGCATGCTGGGCTACAACTTCCTTATTTTTTTCAGTGTAGACATATTCCTGTTGCCCAGCTGCAATTTAGACAGTAGAAGAGGCTTTAGTGAAGTAAATCTGCTTTATCTAGTGATTTTTAGGGACCACTCCAATTAGACTGAACAACCCCTTGTAAAAAAATGGAATCAACTCAGAGCGTCTGAATTCCCTCTTCTCAACGTTCTAAAATGGCCCCATTTACTGCAGTGTTAAACCTTCAATTCACTGTGTCTCATCCCAGGGAGACTTTCCAGGTGTTGGGCCCGATGAAAACGGACACGCTGCATTTTACCACCCAGAGCCTCCACGCCCACTTGCAAGACCACACTGTCCAGTATGGATGGAAGAAATTCCAGGAACTCTTGGAGAAGCTGCCCAGTAATTCAGCGGGGAAGGGTGGGGAGAAGTGCTACTTCTACAGGAGCTATTAAAGCACTAAAAGGAAACCTGAGTATTCCAAAGCCGGTGCTTTCATCATGTGCTCAGTAACAGATGAGAGAAATGTCTCTAAAAGCTGGAGGACTCCTGGGTCCCTTCCTCGAGGCTCTTCACTAACATACCTTGCAGAAAAGAAGTTACTTAGTGTGCTTCAGTTTCTGCATGCGTAAGACAGAGCTAACAGCTTTCTCATGAGGAGCTGTAAGTTCTCACGAGTTTAAAGTGTTTTGAGATCCTCAGAGGAATGAGCAAAATGTTCTTAGGAGGCATATTTAAAAAGGAAAACCTGCATTTGATGTAGACATCTCTTTTTTTTTGGTAGGCTGTAGAGGATTTCTCTCTGACTGCTTCTGTCCTTCATCAGACTCCATTGAAGGTGCTGCTTGGAGACTGAAATCCTCTATAAAATATACTGTTCTCTGGATCCCAGTCTCAGTAGCCTAACCCTGTGCCCTGGCAACAGGACATTAACGCTGTACGCGATGGTGTGAGCCACCCTCCACCACCCCAGGAGCCAGCACAATGCCTTCGCCTTCCAAACACACATCCCCTTCAGCCTGCAGCATGGCATACCCGCTTCGTACCGACTTAGCCTGACCAGTGTGTTCTTGCAGACCTCTGGTGTCATTGCCCCACTGCAGACAGGCTGGATCACACGAGAGAGCGGCCGTGCGAAGCACCAGCAGGAGCGTGCACGTCCTCTTCGCAGCCACCACCCCGCCCGCAGCCAGTGGCTCACCTGCTCCATCGAGGCTACGTGGGAGCCTGGGCATGCCCTGAGGTAGGAGGAGTGCTTGGATACCTGTGCAGCTTTTTCATAAAGATACACAAAATGAACAACTGTACTGGTTCTGCATCTCGTATAGAAAGACCTGGCCAGGCTCTCTGTCCCCTCTACACCACGAGTCGTTGCACGTGGTTTTTCCCTGTGTGAAACAAACGGGATTTTTCACCAAAGTTAACCTCCCTGCTGCCAGGCAGCTGCCTTCTGCTCGGCTTCACGGGGACGTTACAGCCCTGCTCCGTGGCTCGAGATCTGCTGAGTTATCACGGCTGCTGTCCGTACGCCCACAGGCTGATTTGGGTTCTGTTCACAAACACTGTGCAGGGGCCAGACTCGACTGCAGGAACTGCAAGTGCAGGTGAATCGGCTTAGCACCACGGCTGCAGTCCTGCTAGTGACCCCTGGCACTGGTGGAAGCACCTTGTGTGGGTTTGTAGCTAGGCTGAAACGGGTAACAGGGGTGCTTTTGGCAGGGCTGCCTTGTACCACCTGAGTTACTCTTGAGTTTTCTTTCCCAGGAGAAGAGTGACTATGCAGACACTGGTTGGTTGTGGTACCAGCATCAGGAATCTCCCCCAGGAGTGGAAGAGATGTCTGCCCAGTCATCGGCGAGTCTCTGAGCTTGTGTCTAACTCGACCTTGAAGCCACTTTGCACTCGTAGGCCACAACTTAGGTTTAGGCTAATGGCCCTGGAGCGGGCAGGAGAGGTCTAGGATCGGTACTGGCAAAGCAAACTCCCTGCACTGAGCAGGGTGAGAGCGGAGTGCAGTGTCTGGCCCCTCCCCATAGTCTGCACAGGACAGGAGGGGCAGGGAAGCCAGGTTTAGAAACTGCCTTGATTTTCCTCTTCCACCCTGAAATGCTCCCAAACAGTAATTGCTTTGAAAAATCTCTTAAATCCTAAACAGGCCCGAGTGCAAGGTCTGTTCCTAGGTAGTGTTGCAGTCTTCAGGCTAGGATGTAGAGCGAGAGCTTAATCACTGGCTGTAGTAAAGCACCATGATAAAATCTTTAAATAATATTTATCCCTAGAGAGCACTGCTTGGTATTCAGCTAACCCTAGAGAGTGCTGCTTGGTATTCAGCTAACCAGCTGCCCTATAATGCTGCTCCATCAAAATATTTATTCAAATGGTTTGGATAAGAGCTGGTTATCCTGACCTTTTATTAGTACTCTGAACGCTAACTCCGCATCAGATCGCAGTGCCACAGGCAGCTAGTAGGCTACAGGAAAGATTATTTCCACATGGAAGACTAGCTTTTATCAGCTATGAAAATAAGGTGAGGCTCTTCCTGCCCACTGCTTCATCTAGCTAAGTATCCTTCCCAGCCCGTGTGGACTCCACCACACTGTTTATTTGGGTTTATTCTTTCCGTGCCAGAGCAGGCTATTTTGGTTTGATGTAATTCAGCAGGCTGAATTAATAGCCTAACCCAAACCTCGATAAACTACAGGCTGGGCAGTGTGCGATGGCAACGACTCACCGACAGTGGGGCATTAGAAGCTGCAGAACTAGGCAGCCTTCCCCAGCTCGGTGTCTAAAAATCACACCCGTGTCTTGCCTGCGCTCTTGGCCACTATCAACATTTTCCACGTACTCACTTCAAGTGCAAGAACATCTGAAGCAGCCGGTAGTTGAAGCTCAGCTCTGTGTTCCTCAGGGAGGCTTCCTGAACGCTCTCAATCCCAAAATGCTGCTGTGGCAGGCAAGATAACTCCCAGGCTCTGAAGTGCTATGTTCCATTACGCTTCTAAGAGGTTTGGCACTTCAATGCAGTACAAAAACTCTCAGAGTGGGTGAAAAATCTTTACTGTTGACCTGCTCTACTTTAACATGAGGTTTGATGGATTCGACCATTAAGTCCTTCAGCCCAGTAAGTGAAAACAAGGCAAGGACATCTGGTGACTCAGGTACTCTCCTCGTGTCACAGTTCCACCTCGGTTCCGGTGCTGGATGCTCCTTCATCAGCTTCGTATTTGGAAGTAAATTAATCCATGGTGTCCCTGAATCCGTCCAGCGTGTTACTTGTCCACCTCCTGCCACAACATGGCTGTCCTCAGACCTGCTCTTGACTGCATCAGGAAGCCTTTGTCCCAAACCTAGCTTGCTCTGCAAAAGTCGACTGCCGATTTATTTATTTTTTTTTCTGTTTTTATACTTCCGCTGCCTCCAGAGCAGCCAATTCCTTCCTTCCTCAGCCTTTTCATTTCCCCTGGCAGACAGAATTCTCAAAAAGATTTCCCAAAGGGCCCTGACCCCATTCAGGAAGAGCTGCTGGGAGTTGGGTGCAGGTTTGGAAGCGTGATTCACCACAACAGGCGGTCGCTTGGACCTTACTGCTCGGGAATTGTTACGGAGGTGCTTCTCCCAGACGCAGGGATGGATTTTCTTTGATCGTCTTCACCTCGCTCTGGGCAGGGGTAGAGCGCAGCCTCCAACACTTTCTCAGATCACACCTCAGCTTGTAAAAATCCATCGGACAAATCCAGCATTGATACTGGGAAACGACTCTTGGCACGTCTGTATCAGAATAAACCTCTCAACTTAGTGGTTTTTTTCCCAAAAAACCTGCCACTATTTGGTGGGGAAGGCAACGGGATGTGGAGCTCATAAAACTGCAGGGCAGCTTAGGCTTTTTTTTTAATTCAAGGTGTTAATTCTGCCGTGGGCCTGTAACCTACTTCGCTGAAACGTTAGTCACGGCCCAGGGACGCTGTTTGCATTTGATAAGGCCACATGGTATTTAAAATCATTAAAACTGCTCAATATATTTCAATGTTAGCTTGAAAACCTGACTTACCGAATTAATAGAAATGGAACATATGGTATAAATTTAGCAATCCCTGGTGTATTTAGTATTTTACATCAGCCAGTTTTTACTCGACATGAAAATCTGAACTTTAACCTGTATTTAAGCGTCTGGATTTCTTGCTCTAATTTTACATAATGAAAACGTCCTACTTGTTGGCAAGCCAAAAGTCTGCGCTGGGTAAATACGGTACACGCTGGCTGCCCAAACTGTTACAGTTGTTAGGTGAACCACTTGCTGCCGTGCTGCAGGAAAGTGAGTTTAATCATGAGTGAATCGGGGTCCTGGCGGTCCCCGAGGGAACAAGCCTCGCGCACGTACGCTAGCGGGGGTGTAAAAACGAGCTTTTCTCACCCTCGTGTGCAGAACATACACAAAGAGGCTGGAGACCGTCGTGCTCTGGGGAGGTCAGCCTTTAACAGGACACGTGGGTGCGTTCTTACGAATAAATTAGTCTCAGAATAATACTAGTTAATAGTTGGGGTCATTATGACCAACTGCAGAAAGAGCAGCCTCACCCAAAGCGACTGCTCGGCAGCCAGCGTGCCCCGCGCCTCGGGACAGCCCAAACCCCCCAGTCCGAGGCCAGAGCACCACAGCGGGACTGCTCCCAGCTTGCGCTCTGCCTCCACCTCCCCTCTGCTCTGGCCCTTTCTTCCTCCTCGGATTTACAGAGCCGAGAAGCGCAGGGACAGCCCCAGAGCTAACCGCGCCCCACGGAGCTGCCCGCCCTCGCCCCCTTTCTCTCGCCTTCCCGGGTCAGGTCTGTGGGACGCGGGCGGGAAGAGCAGCGCTGTCAGAGATGACCAGGAGGCTGCGGTGTAACAGGTCACGGTGACAACGGGGCGAGCGTGTGTCTAAGTTTGTTTATTAATTCGGTCTGTTCTAAGTTGTACAATTATGAAAACAACAAAACGACTGCTGGAAGCCCAGGAATATTTACAATCTCGCCTTGTTGTAGTGAGGTCAGTCTATGTCGTTGCACAGATCGGTTATGTTTGGTACCACAAGATGTTTAAAATTCAGACAAATTTGAACAGATTAACAATTGTATATACAGGAAATAAAAGGAAATTCAAGTATCAAAATACAGACAGATTAAATAACATTTGTATTACAAATCAGTCCCACTGCCATACATCACAATTAGCAAAAATGTCTACGTTGCAAACTGAATTCGACTGTTCTCTGCCCTGTCAGGGAATCTCAGGTTATTCTTCCACGGGTAAGAAAAATGTTTGAGCTAGATTGACTTTGCAAGAGCAGCACAGTTACTTTCTTCTGGGAAAAAGAAATAATTAAAAAAAAAGCAGTAATGCCAATAAGAGACCCGAAAGGGAGACCTTTTGCAACAAGACAGCGTTGGAAACGCGGCGCTTGCTCTAAAATAAAGATCCGGTTGCGTGGAAATGATGCGAGCGGAAGCAAGGCAGGGGAAATTCTGCTGCTGGAAACTTCTGAAGTGGGGCGGAAGGAGCGTAAAGCAACTGACTCCACTTCAGCTGCCCCCAGAACTGGCTGTGTTCGGACAGACTATTTGGCATCCGCTCTGTGGCAGCAGCCTCGTGGAGGTACAAGCTTTTCACTGGAGGTACCTCCTGGAAGGTGCCAGATCTCCCTGGGAGGGGGACAGGCACGTGCCCCGCAAAAGTTGCGTAATTTCTTCTAAAAAAGAACAATCCCAACGCAAGCTCAAGGGCAGCTGAAGAGCTAAGGTTAGCGTTTTCTTGTAAATACAAAATTAAAAAGGGTCAAGCAGCTTCAATTTGAAAAAAAAAAAAAGAAAAAAAACATCCCCTCCTATATAAAAAAAAAACAGACGACAACTCTGCATGTTTGCTCACCTCTCGAGTTCCCAGCCTGGACTCTTGCCATGCACAAACCAAACACAATCTGTCCTTAAAAAGGGGAACAAGGCCCAGGGCAGCACCGCCTTTTCCCAGGCAGGTCGTACAGCAGATACGTTTTGATTCCAAGTCACACTCAGCACCAGAAATTTAGGGCACTTTCCTCCAGATACCACAAAACCCCGTAGGGAGGAAGGGCCAGAATACTGTGCAGTGGCTGGGTTAGCAGATCACTGGGAGCCGGTGACTGGCATGGGCCGGGGTCAGCCTCCAGCACGCAAGTGCCTTGAGAAAACCCATCGAAATGAAAGGGGAGATGCGCTGCCAAAACAACTGCTTTGTCTATGAAGTGAGAAAGAGAGTATCTGGCTAAAGAACTGTTGGATCACTAAAGACAACCACAGGATTACACGCAGGACTGGAAAGGACCACCAGGGTCCCCAAGCCCAGTCCCCTGAAGATTGGAGTCTTCATCACCACGTCGCCTCCAAGCCAACCTTCAAAAAGCTCATGCATCTAAAAAAAGAAAAAAGAAAAGCGTCCCTCCTCCCAAGCAGAGGTTCAATTTGCAATCTCTCCAAAAAAGACTTGTTGCCAACACACCAAATATTTACACTTACACCAGTATGAGTTGCAACATATGCATAACAAGGAATGTTAGGTTTCCTAAATTCATCGACTTAAAAAAAAAAAAAAAATAAATCTCCACTTCCCCCTCCTCATCATTTACAGGTCTATGCCCTTGGGATTACAGTTCACTTCTCTCCCAGCCTTGCTGGCTGGAGAGACTAAATGAAATCCTGACATACAGCAGCAACTGGAGTTAAACAGAAATTATTCGGGCATATCATTCTAGTACAGCAGCAGGGTACCACATCCCCGACCGTTACGACGCCTGTCGAGATTGTAACAGACGTGCTGCGCTACGTTTGTGTGTCTGAAGAATTCAAATCACAACCATTTTAACGTCTCGCCCTTGAGGGGAACAGAACTGTGAAAACACATCAGTCACAGCCCAAACTAGTTAAATACTCTGGTAGTTCGAAAGAAAAGCAAGCACACAGCACCTTCGAGATGGTGGTGTCTGGGGATACCGGACTTAGACGGGGGCCCAGCCATCCTCAGGTCGATACGATTTATCCTCAGGTATGGACTGTCTCAGTGTAATGCCCAAAATTTAACTCCTTATTTGTTCATCTTCTGAAACTGTTGCACTAATTAAATAATGAGCTAGTATCAAAAAAGTGCTAAATCACATTGGAATACACTTTAAAAACCCCCAACCCTTCAGGGCATAACTGCATTTAAGAACAAGACGGGTGCGCGGGAGGCTGGAGAAGGGCGTCGCCTCCAGGTATTCAGTGCGTAATTTGTGTCCTTGCCATAGAAACGTCAAGTATTGCAATGCAACAGTTCTCTGTAGGGGAAGCAAGCTTTGTACCATCGGTAATACTTGGCCACAACCACTCTGGGGTGAAAGATCCTTTGCAGACTCTTTTCCTCATTTCCATTTGCCATAAAAGCCTGGAGTAGCTTTGAGAACAAAGGCTGCAGACTTACCCTGCAAGGCTTCTCACACTGGAGGAAGTTATTTCCAAGAATTTGGCGTTCTCTACTGTTCACCCAGAATTGAAGCAAATTAAAGTACCGTTAGAGATGCGCACACCACTCCCACTGCTAAGACTTTCTAGTGTACTCCTTGCCGGACTGCGTGGATTCTCAGTAAATAAGGATATATATTTTTTTTTTTTTTTCCTCACCAAAAAACTGCAGTGCTACATTTAAACCACGAACTGGATCTGTTCTGTATCATTTCGCACGTTAAAAAAGAAACGGGGTCGAAAGACACTTGTCTCAAGTGAGAACAGGTGACATCGCTCTCGGCCTCAGAAGTTCAACTTTCCTTTGCTAGAAATGGAGAGAGCTGCTTTTCTCAGCTGGTGGCTGGGGTCCCTTTCCCCCCTCTGCTTTGGGAGCCCTCACTGAGCAGCCATGCACCCACTCCGAGGCAGACACCCGTGCCAGATGGAGATGATCTTCGTGTCAGCAGGCCACTGCTTCTTAGGTCTCTGCCCCGTAACTACATTTCCGTGGTAGGAGACAGCTGCCCGGAGATCAGCTTTTCAGAGGCAAACAGAAAGGAAGATAATGGAATGAATGATTTCTGAGTCATACAAAACCAAGTGCTGGGGAAGATGAGGCATACGGCCAGGAGATGAGACAGAGCCGCGAGGGTTATGGACACACAGCGGAAGCGTTGTAGTTTAGGCAGGGCTGCCGGTGATCCCAGCGGGGTTTGGGTGGTCACCCTTAGAAAGGCACATGCTCTAGCGACCCGGTTTGAGGAGGTGCTGGAGGAACCTGCCCTTCCCAGCTGAAAGCAGGGGGTGATGCAAGAGCTCAGCCCCTCTAAGCTCAGGCGTACGTGTGGGCAACTGCACGGTAAATCCTTACACACACAACCTGCACGACCACCGCTACCACCAATTCAGTCTCTCTTTGAAGGATACAGAAACCCTCGGGGCACTCTTACAGCTTGGAAAGATGCTGATCAAACCCAGACCCAGCCTCTCGGAGCACCTCAGACACAGCAATGCTCTTGTTCTGCTGCCCACGACGCTTCGGCCGGCAGGATGGCACCGCAGCACGTCGGGCAACTGCAGTGCGGCCTCTGCTGCGGGGGCCTTAGGCAGAGGAGCGCCAGCTCTGTGTTAAGGGGCTCCATGGCATATGAAATG